GAGGAATAGATACATCCCTTGTTCCGAGAGAGGGAGGGAAGCTGGCCTCCTCTCTAGTGCTTTTCCGTTCAAACGCTGGCCCCTGTGTGTTCATTTTAAGCCTCTGCATCCTCAGTGCATCAGCACTTCCCAGCACTCCCTACCCTGGAGGGCTTAAGAATGTACCATATTTAAATCCTATTTCACGTCATCAGTCTTTATTTTTTTCATAAAAATGGGCTCTGGGTTAAACGAGCAGAAGGTAACAGTTAACAAGGATGGAGGCTCCCAAAGGTCATCTTTTTGAACACCCACCATGTGATCCACCCTGTGCTGAAAGAGGCAGAGGGACAATTTCCTGAAAACTTAACCACTCAAGGGGCCAGGAGGTGACAAAGTTCTGGGATCAGATGTGTGAACAGATGTGGGCCTGGATGGAGCAGGCTCAGCCCAGCCCTGGGTGCAGTCTGTAAGGCCTGGGTGTGTGTGTGTGTGTGTGTGTGTGCATTCACATGCACACTTGGATGTCACTTCTGGTCCCTGGATGTTCAGGACCCACTCACTAGCTGGCAGGTCTCATTACCTCCCTGAGCCTTTGTAACATGACAGGTGCATGATTCTGTGACTTATTAATTCACTTCTCGCTCAGTCTGTGGTTCTCTGTCTCCAGAAAGACTCTGGAAAGCTGGTGCACCCTGCCCTAAGCCAGTGTACCCTGCGGGCAGGAGAATAAGGAAGGATGAGGGAGGGTAGGAACCTCCCTTCCTGTTTCTGTGAACCCCACTTGGCCCAGTGGAAGGGGGTAACAGATTCCTGTTTAATCAATCATCCTCTAATCAGTCACAGCCTCTGCATCCCCTGCGCCCAGCTTTTCTCAGTCCTTTATGTCTGTTTCTTCATTTGTCCTGTGTCCGGAACAAACTTGATGTAATGTGAATATAATAAGGCTGTGCTTGCAAAGGACTTGGCTTCTAAAAGCCTCCCAAATGCTTTGAATTATGCTCTAATTGAAATGAACGTGGAGAGTAGCTGCAGCATTCCAGACATAGGTAAATGAGGGGCCCCCCAGGTCCGAGGCTCAGCGCCAGGGAGCAGGAAGTCCCATGAATTAGAAAGAGGAGACGCCCTCTTTGGGGACAGGGAAGGGCCATGAGTTATGGAGCGGAGCTGTCAGCGGAGGGAAGATGGCCAAACGTGCGCGCGCCCTCTTCTAGAAAGCTGAGATGGTGCCGAGTGCCGGCACCTCCCTTGCCCTGGGCTGCTCCCCAAAGTACCGGAAAGGGGTCTTAATTAATCCCCACTGGTGAACGTTTGCCAATTTGGGGGGCTTTCAGCAGGAAAGCCGAATTATGACAAGGCTGTGTGCTTTTCGAGGGCGTGTTTGCTGAAGGTCGATGTCAGCCTTGCTTGATTTAAGTCGTCCCAGATTCCCTGCAAAGGCTATAAACAGTGAGTGATGAAATTGGCCCTGGAGCCAGAACAGGGAGGAGGCCCGGTCCCCGGGGACGGCCGAGAAGCACCACCGAGGGGTGGAGAGAACCAGAAAACAGAGACAGGAAGGCCAGGATGGCCTTCTGCTCCAAGGAAGGGGAGGGATACCTCCCCGAGGGCCCGGCGAGGTTCCGGCTGAGCTCTGCAGGGTCGCAGGGCCGCGCAGTGAGGGTGAGCTCTGAGGAGACAGCTCTCGGTGGTGCCCAGCAGCCCAGCGGCTCCTGCGGCATGAGACCGCGGGAGAGCTGGCCAGGCCTGCTCACAAGCTGGCGGCAGATGGATGAGCCCAGGGGTGAAAGGTTGATTTCTCCCAGCACTTAAAGGATCAGCGCTACTGCCTCGTCACCCTCTCCCGCGCCCCCCCACCTTGCTCCCCCTGAGGAGAGGGTGACCTGGAGCCTGTTTGGGTGGGGAGGAAACCCCACTGGGGCTCTGTGACATTCAGTGCCCCCCCTCCCCCACCCACCCCTCCGCCCACACTGTAAAATCAGGAGGAGATTTTGCCCCGGCCAGCTCTAGCTCTTTGTGAACTCAGTCTCCCCTGAAATTCCACAACCTTGAGCTGTTGCCCAAGCCCCCAGTAATCCCACCTGCCGGCGGAGCTCCCTCCGGAGATTGAGCATCTCTGCGCCAGCTGCGCCCCAAGCTCTGGATACAGCAGAGATGGACACACGCCCTCTCCCATCCTCAAGGCCGGGGCGCAGCCTGAGATTAAGAATGGGAGAGCAGCGCAGCCTGCAAAGGGGCACAGGGACTCAGCAAGGGCGCACCCTGCGCTGGGGGGATCCAGGAAGCCCCCGCCGAGCAGTGACAGGTGGTGACCTGGAGGACGAGCTGAGGCCCTCATGGCCAGCGGAGGCATCTGCGATGCAGGGGACCCACAGCCCCTTTCCTGCTCAGCTCATTCCTGCTCCGGTACCGTCCTCGGCCTTCCGGCCACCTGGCTCTGGGGGTCCAGAGCCTGGAGCACAGCATGCGGGCAGTGTGGTTTCTGGTGCTTCTGGGTGGTCGCCAGCAGCTCCATGGCAGGCCCGTCACTCCCTGCCACTGTGTCTCTACCCACCCCCCACTCCCGTAGCCATAGAAACCCTCCTGGCCGGCAGGCAACCCTGAGCTTCCGCCACAGAGGAGGTAGCAGCTGGGTGGGAAAGATTCCTGAGCTGGGGCCTGGGCTTCCCCATGTAAGCAACATCCTTACCTTCTCTGAGCAGCTGTCTTTTTGCCCCTAAAAGAAATGCTTGAGGTTCAGCCGTGCAGGGTGTTGAGCAGGCAGCCCACAGGAAGACCGCCCCCCAAACCACGTTATAAAAGGAAGCCAAGAAAAAACTGGGAGCTTTTACTTCCAATGTTACTGGCTTGAATTATTTTGGGGCGCTAACACTTGGGTACTCGATAAACTCCAAGCTACTGTGAAATGCTTGAGGTGAAAAAAGAAAACAGCAACCCCCAAGGAGTACCTTGCCCGATTGAAGCAGGCCCTGGAGCTGCAGGGCAGCAAACACAGAAGAGGGGGCGGGAGCGGGTCTTGGGTGCGGGAGTGGGGCTGGGAGGGAGCCGGCACCCCAGAGCCCCAGCACAGAGTCCACACCCCACAGTGGCTGCTCCCCCCACCCTCGTGTCGCATTGCATCACCCTGGAGGGTGTTCTGTTGTGTTTTGGTCCCAGTCCTGGCTGCAAGCTCACTGTCTTCCTGTGACTGGCGAGAGCCATACCTGTGGCTAAAGGTTTTGAGTCTCACCACAGCCAGCTCCATCCAGAAGCCGAGGGAAAGGAGAGGCCAGTGACGGGGGAGCTCGCCTGCCGGAGAGCTGGCTGACAAGGAAAGCGGTGCAGGGCGGGGACGGGAGCAGAGCATGGAAGACCCAGGTTTGCCCTCATGTGGGCCTGGGGGTCCCGCCGTATCCTGTGTGCACAGTGGGGTGACTCAGTCTACAAGTCACACTGCGGCAGCCCCGCCCGGCCGCTCCCCGGCATCCTGCACCCAGCAAGGAAATCCCTGGGAGAGAGGCTTGACCACAGCCCCTCATGAGTCCACTGATCAGGGGGTGCCTTCCACACCCCAAGCCCGGCCCCTCCCGGGGTGCACTGTGGTCACCCCGAGCCAGGCACACACCAGCTACACCAATCTTCATAAACAAATAACTTGAAACATCTGGAGACACCCCGTGCAAGGTTCCCTTCTTTATAAACCTCACCTGAAAAGAAAGATCCACAGCTCGGCGGGAAACTGGACACAGGCCGCCCGCTGCGCAGCAAGGCACAGCTCAGTGCGCGCCCGCAGACGCCCGGGCTCCTGGGCATGTCTAAAGGGGCGACAGAAAGCTGGGCGACGCGGCGCGTCCCGGGTAAAGGCGCCAGTTCCCTGCGAGAGCTGATGGGGACGCAGCTGGCCGGGCTCAGCCTTTGCAGGCGGAATCTGAGCCAGTACATCTGATTTTAAGAAATGAGCTTAAGAAAGCCCTGCGTGTGTGTAACGCGTAGGTGCAAGGATTTTCACACTCACACCCGCGTAGATGTGTGAACATGCACGCGTGGTTTTTCTGACGCGCCTGGGGGTAACTCCCATTATTCAGGCCCCTGACCCCCAGCGCCCCGGGCGTGCTTCCTGGCAGTGCGGCCGGAGCCAGGCGTGGACCTGGAGACTTTGCTTTCATGCTCGGTGCCGTGGGCCCCAAGTCGCCCCGAGTCGCCCCGAGTGGACAGCTGGCCCGGCAATTCCCCGCAGGGCTCCTCCCGCAGCGCGCATCAGTCTGCGGCTCTTTTCTATGGGAATTTCAGTCCTTTATCTTCTCCATTTTACAAGCGCCTTATAAAGTTGGCCTCCAGCTTTCTGTCTGTGCTGTCTCCTCCCGGTTGTTTGTCCTTCCCGTTCTGTGGCCCGGCCAGTGTTTTGATGCGATTGTCATGGAGCCACGGGTGCTGATCTTCTCTCCCTTGTCGTGGTTTTGGGAGCCCCTCCGCAGACAGCTAGAAAGCAAGTTGCTGTCTCGCCAGCTGGCATCTCCTGCTCCCGGAACAACGGCCTGGTTTCCCAGCCCCACCTGCCCTGTCTCGGCCGCCCCCGGGGGTTGGCGCACTCTGCTAGTTGTGGGCCCTGTCCTCGTGGTCCCTAAAAGGCCAGGTTTCGTGAGGAGGACAGAGGTGTTTGGGGAAGAAGGGAAATAAACATTCCCGTTGGGGGGACACAGCTGATGCCCCGGGGCAGACACAGAGTCAGACTTGCATCAGGACCCACTGTGCCCACCCCTGGGTCCCCACTCCCTCTTACTTCCTCTTACTGCCTCCTGTCTGGATCTCCTGGCCTGGTGGGGGTCCCAGCAGGCACAGATGGAGCAGGCAGATGAAACCCAGAGGTGCTGGGCACCCCAGTTCTCCAGCCACTTGAGTCTTATGTCCGTCCACCCTCTTCTCTGCTTAATGTCAGTCATCTGGGGTTCAAGTGACTGACTTGGGGTGTGTGGTGCCAGGGTGCGGGGACGGGAGAGGCTGGTTGGCAGCCCTGCCCGGTTGACACGCTGGCTCCATCACAGTGAGGTCGGTGGGCGGCGACGGAGATGCGCTGTGCGTCACAGAAGAGGAGCTGGCTGGGGACGACGAGGACATGCCATCCTTCCCGGGCACACAGCAGGGTAAGGGCTGGGGTGGCCCCCAATCTCCTTTCTGGGGTAAGCACCTCCTACCGTCCCCCACCTCAGCTGGAGAGACTTCTCTGTCTACGTGGCTTCAAAGTCAGGCCGTCCTGTCCCCGCTGCTGCCAGAGGTGAAAGGGCAGAGCTGCGTGAGCCTGAGTCACATGGTCGGAGTGATGTCTGTTTGGCACAAGTGGCCCCTGTCTCCGGGTCTCCTCCTGAGACCTCTCGCAACCTCTGCCCTCTGCCCCAGGGCCTCTCTCCCTGCCTGCCCAGCACTGTCCCTGGCCTCATGTTCTTTGCCACCTGAGAAGCCTGTCCTTCTCCCCCAGCCTGGCACTTTGACCCTGAGAGCCCGGGGCACCTGGGCTGGTGCTGTGGAGTGCCCACAGATCGGAGCAGCTGCCCGCACCGGGCCTTGCAGCAAGCATGCTCCTGGGCGCTGAGCCAGGCCCTCAGGCATGCTGGTTAATCTAGGTCTGGGGTGTGAACTGAGCATCAGGATTTGCAAACAGTCTGGGGCTCTTAGGGTACAGCGGAAGTGAAACTCGCCTGAGGGGTTGCACTGCATCTCCCTGGGCACTGGGGACCTGCCAGGGGTGCCATCCCGAACCAGAGGCCATCCTGGCTTGGTTTCCGGGAGACCTGCTGGCCACCTGCAGGGTCTGCAGACCAGTTGCCAGCAGTCTGGCTCCCTGGGCGGGTGCCTTTCAGTTTTAACACAGTCTTGGGAAGCCAGCAATTCCCATGACACGAGACTTGGGGAGCTAAAGCCCAAGCCAGGAGGGTTGGTCACCAGGTGGTGACACCAGGCTCTCTGCCCCAGCCTTAAGGCCAGTGGAGAGGGGAGAGGTGCCCACACCCCGGGCTGAGGACAATGAATGAATGAATGCATGCATGGGCCTGATGGTAGGGGGTTTCTTAGGAGTCCTGACTCTACTCTCCACTCTGGAAAGCTCTGAGATCCAGACAGAAGGCAGTGAGAAGGATAGAGAACCAGGATCAAGAGCATGAAACGCAACGAGATGGGCAGGACAGGACGGAACTGACCTTTGCACAGCCTCAGCCCCGGCCTAAGCTGCTGCCCATTCCCTGTCCCCCACAGGCCGGCTCGGGCCTCGCTGCAGCCGCTGCCAGAGGAACCTGTCTCTGCACACGTCCGTGCGGATCCTTTACCTCTTCCTGGCCCTGCTCCTGGTGGCCGTGGCCGTGCTGGCCTCTCTGGGTGAGTGAGGCTCCCACCCCAGCCGCAGGGGCTTCTGGTCAGGGGGCCGGGATTTACTGCTCATTTACAACACTGTATAGTTTGGGGGTACAACTTCACCCCTCGACATGTGCACCTGCTTCCCTCCTGTGCCCACACCCTGTTGTCTTAACCCCTGGGACCTCTGCACTTCCCTCCCAGGCCCCCAGTAAACACTGTAGTTTTCAGCATCTCAGAGTCATTTTTGCTGTGCCTGCCCAGCTTCTTTTCTCTGGTTGTTTATAGTCCACAAATGAGGTCAGTCATCTGGTAGCTGATTTCCACTTTCTGACATTTTTCACTTAGTTTCATCACCTCCGAGTCTCTTCATATTGTTGCCAAAGCCCCAGTTTCATCGTTTTAACAGCTGAGTAGTATTCCATTGGGTATCTATACCACACGGTCTTTCCCCAGCATCTGTCACTGGGCACATGGGTGGATTCCATGTCTCAGTCGCTGAAATGCTGGGAACACAGCGAGTGTAAATCTTCCCACATTAGTGTTCCCATAGTCCTCAGATGAATACACAGGTGGGATGGCTGGGTCCTGCGGCATTTCAATTTTTGTTCTTAAGGACTCTCCATTTTCCATGGAGGCTGCACCAAGGTACTTTTCCACCAGGAGTGAAGGGGGTTCCTCACACTCTCCTGGCTGGGGAACTTTACGGCCCAATCCAAACTGCAGAGATGCATTTAAGTCCCAGTCAGTGGTTAGCGTTGTGGCCTGCGTGAGGGCCTCCGCTTTCCTGCTGGTGAATGAGGAGGCAGGACTAGGTTTGTGGTACTCGGTGTCCTTTTCCTGTTGGAATCCCCGGGAGCTTTCAAGAATGTGGATGTGGGGCTCCTCTGGGTGGTGGAGCTAATTCAGCATGCTGCTGTCCAGGTGGTTCTGTGGTACATCTAGGGCTGAGGTGATTTTCACAGGACCGGGCTATTTTCAAGCCCCTTCCACGGTCTGTGTTTCTCTAATGCGGTTGGATGCCTGCCTGTATCAAGATTGCTCCTGCAGCTCGTTAAAATGCAAAATCCAGTGTCCCCTCAGCCCAGTAAATCAGGTTGTGTGGCCTGGGTGAGGCCTGGGTCTGAGGTTTGCCAGTTCTCATACACACCACAGCTTGTGCAGTGATGAGGCACCCAGAGAGAGCAGGCCTGCGGATTCAAGAGACTCCGCCATCCGGATGGTGCTACCAGGCTGATAGAGGTCCCACTCCATGCGTAGATTCAGACCCAGACTTCTTTTCACTAAGGAAAGCCAGTAGGTTGGTTGGTTCCAGTTAAGGAGATGTTAGCGACAAGGCCGGGACCAGGGCGAGACAAGGAGACATTGAAGGTGCTGTATCCTAGGTGCTGTCTGATCCTGCACCCCGACCCCCAAAAGACCCCAAAAGTGAGCACCCTCCCAAGAGAGGAAGCTGGTCCTGGTCCTCGTTGGAGATAGTAACTTGTCTTTCTGGTGTGAAGGAGGCCAACATGGTTCATAATTTCAAAACACCCTCATCATCTTCCAGTGGTGCCAAAAGCACTAGTTAATCCAACCCAAGCTGAGCACCTACTATGCGCCAAGTGCTGGGGATACCAAGATGAGTCAGCACATTTCACCATCAGAGGGCGTGGCTCTCTATCTTGGCTGTGTGTTAAAATCCCTGGGAAAGCCGTTAAAAATGCCAGCGCCAGACCCACCTCTCCAGACGAATAAGTCAGAGCCTCTGGGTAGGACCTGGCCTGAATTGTTTCTAGAAGCTTCTCAGGTGATTCCAATGTGCAGTCAGGTTTGAGGACCATTGATTCCAAGAACTTCCACGCTGCTCCTGTTCGGTGGCACCTCTCCACTGAGCCACTTCACAGGCCTCCCAGAGAAAGGCTGGGCCTGGCGTCAGCGGGAGGCAGCTTGGGAAGGAGCAAGAGCTGCAGCCACAGCATTCAGGGGCTGTGGGGACCTTGTGAAGGCTCTTGGTGAGGCCTGTGAGGGCCTCAGAGCCCAGACCCCGGGACCATTAGTGAAGCTTGAATAGACACAAACTTACGCCAGCAAGAGCACCTCAGCAGGAGGGACAGTGCTGGAGCTTCACCTCGTGACATCCAGGCCCATGTGGTCTCTAGGCACCAGCGTGTACGAAGTATCTCAAATTGTCTCCCCCAGCCCCACAATGGGAGGCTGGCTGCATTCCTCCCATGTGTGGGAACGTGGAGGAATATGTCACATTCCTCCACAGAGGAGGAAGCAGGTCTGGGAAGTGCTTTGCCCCAAGACCCAGAGCATCCTAAGAATTGGGGGTGGGGCCCATGTTTGCAGGGAACTTTAGGGGCCTTTTTGGCTTTGACCTGAGCACAGGTACCCCATGTCCCTGGAACAGGGCTAGCACCTTCCTGGCCTGGCTGGTAGGCAATCGGTGGTGTCTGTCAGACAAATAACAAGCAACTGTGCGCGTATGCGTGAGCTCAGGTATGCATCACTTAACAGCGGAGACATCCCGAGACTCGTGTCCTTAGCACTGCGTTGTGCGAATGTCATTGAGTGCAGCCACACGAACAGGGGGCCCATGATGAGTGAGGGCTTGTCGTCAGCGCCTCATAGTCGGGACTGAGCCGAAGTCCAGAGGGTTGGACAGACCAGTCTTCTCTGGACGTGGGGAGCCCACGGCAGTCCTTCCATTGAGTAGCTGTTACGTACTGGAGCCACGCTCTGCATAATGAAACGCAGGCCGTGACTTCACGGAGCTTATGAAATAGAGGGGCGTTTGGCAAATTTTTTTTCTGTAAGGAGCTACATGGTATTTTTGGATCTGCAGCCACAAATGGTGGTTTTCAACAACCGAACTCACACTCGGAGCTGAAGCAGCAGGGACAGGGTGAGCAGCAAAGAGGACCTCAGAGCGGATTTCGCCTGAGTCCCTCGTTACCAGCCCCGTCTGAATGAGTCATCCGTGAACTTTTCTGTGCACCCATCACACATGATTTAAGATGCATCCAAATGAGGAATAATTTTTAGGAAGCGAGAATAGTCTAGAGAAAAGTTTTTGGCATCTTCAGCTCTGGTAGTCCTTTCTGGATTGGGTAGCCAGAAAATCGTGTAACAAAATAAAATAATAAAATGCATCCAAAATTAGGTGGAGCCATGGATGGATGTAAGACAAAACAGATGGACAGATGGACGAATTATTGAATGTTAATTGCAGAATCCAGGCGGTAGGCATGTGGCCATTCACTGTCCAAGTCTTTCAGAAATTACTCTGTTGGAAAATTATTATAAATGTTGGAAAAGAAAAATCTGATAGGCGTATACATTCACACACATATATTATACACATGCACACACAGAAGTGCGTATATATTCGTGTACACACTTACAGGAGACATATGAAGAGATCAATATATCGAGATGATGGATGGGTGGGTGCATGGATGGATGGGTGGACAGATAGATATTCTTAAGAGATGTGAAACCAATTCTGGCCCTGAGAAGACACCTGTTCCCTTATACCAACTAGGAAGCCTCATAGAAGAAGGGTGAGTGGCTTTGGGGGGGATTAAAACACAGCACACAGCTACTGTTTCTCTGAGCTAAGACCCTGCCCAGTTTCTCATCTCTATTTTCCCCTACAGTTTTTAGGAAAGTGGACTCTCTCTCTGAAGACATCTCCCTGGCCCAAGCCATTTATGACAAGAAGCTTGTGTCTATGCAAGAAAATCTCCAAGGCTTGGGTACGTGTCCAGATGTGCTGATGACTATGGATGGACGGCCCGTAGTAATCGGGGTGGGTGGGGCCAGGGTCCCGCAAGGGGGCGGCGGTCCAGAGCAGGGAAGCCTTCCCCAGACATGGCTCCTGCCACCCTGTCCAGCAGGGCCACCCACTCCCCCTGGACACCCCAGGCTAGGGCAAGGGACAGTCCAGATCTGGCCAGAACTTACAGGTTGAGAGAGAGAGGTCCATTCACCGGATATCCTCACGTATCTGACATGATGTTTGGGGCCTGCTGAAGCTTCTTGTCAAGCCAGCCCTCCCTGACTTACAGCATGAGCATGTAGGCTGCTGTTTACCTCCTGCCTTAGCGTGACACACCATCCTGAGAATGAGACAGAAGGAGCCAAAATTGCAGGATTTAGAGGTTGTTCTGCTCTGAAGGGAAGAGAAAGTCCTGGTCCCCAGCAGCTAGCACTTCTCGGTCCCTCATTTCTATCTGATCCCAGAGAGAGAGACCCTGGCCCATCTTCTGCACATTTACTGCAGGCAGGTCAAGTAGGAGAACAGCTGTAGAAATGCATGGGAGGTTCTCAGTGACCCCAGAGAAGGTACTAAGATGTATCCTTGAGAATTTGATGATGAGATGGAGAAAATATCCTAAGCCTGACATTTCAGATCAGACTAAAGACAATTTGGTAAAAATCAGATTGCACAGAGGTGGCCGGGTTTTTCCAAAAAGGACTGCGTGGCAGGATACAGGGACGTTGAGGGGCTGGGAACCCTGGCCGTTCCCCGCGCTGTGAAGTGGTTCCCCACAGAAGCAGCCACTGGTGCTTCAGCCACTCACAATGTTGCCCTCTCTCCTAAAGATCTGAAAGCTCCCAACAACTGCTCTTTCTGCCACGAGGCGGGGCAGCTGGGGCAGGAGATCAGACGACTGCAGGAGGAGCTGGAGGGGATCCAGAAGATGCTTCTGGCCCAGGAGGTGCAGCTGGACCAGACGTCCCAGACCCACGAGCTGCTGTCCTCCACCAGCAGCCAGATCTCCCAGGAGATGGGCGGCTGCTCCTTCTCCATCCACCAGGTCAACCAGTCTCTGGGGTTCTTCCTGACCCAGGTGAGAGGCTGGCAGGCCACCACATCCGGCCTGGACCTCTCTCTGAAGGACCTCACCCAGGAGTGCTATGACGTCAAGACTGCCCTGCAGCAGATCAACTTCACCACGGGGCAGACTTCTGAGTGGATTCACGGGATCCGGCGGAAGACAGACGAGGAGACCCTGACCCTCCAGAAGATGGTCACCGACTGGCAGAACTACTCCCGGCTCTTCAGCAGCCTGCGTGCCACCTCAGCCAGGACGGGCGAAGCGGTCAAGAGCATCCAGGCCACCCTGGGCGCCTCCTCACAGCGCATCAGTCAGAACTCTGAGAGCGTGCATGACTTGGTGCTGCAGGTCATGGGCCTGCAGCTGCAGCTGGACAACATCTCGTCCTTCCTGGACGACCATGAGGAGAACATGCATGACCTGCAGTACCACACCCGCTACGCGCAGAACCGCACTGTGGAGAGGTTCGAGACGCTGGAGGGCCGCATGGCCTCCCACGAGATCGAGATCGGCACCATCTTCACCAACATCAATGCCACCGACAACCACGTACACAGCATGCTCAAGTACCTGGACGACGTGCGGCTGTCCTGCACACTGGGCTTCCACACCCACGCTGAGGAGCTCTACTACCTGAATAAGTCTGTCGCCCTCATGCTGGGCACCACCGCCCTGCTGCGGGAGCGCTTCGGCCTGCTCAGCGCCCGGCTGGACTTCAACGTCCGCAACCTGTCCATGATCGTGGAGGAGATGAAGGCCGTGGACATACGACACGGGGAAATCCTCCGCAACGTCACCATCGTGCGAGGTAAGAGCGGCGGGGCAGGGAGGGCCGTGCACACCCAGGCGCCTGGGGACCCAGCGGGGCACACCAGGACAGCAAGGCCGGGGGTTCCTGGAAGCAGCGACTGTGAGCCGAAAGCAGGTCCTCGAATAAAGTCTCCAGGATGTTTTTTTCTCATCAATGTTACAGCAAAGCCATGTTGAATGAGCCACGTTCTTCGAGGGCCTGCTGTACCTCGCTCTGGCAAAACTCCTGGTGGTTAATCCAACCCCCAAAAATGCTGGGCGGCTGGCAGTTTTGGGAGCAGCTGACCCTGAGCAACACGGGTTCCAGCCACAAGGGTCCCGGCAGTTCCGAGATTCTCTTACAAACAGATAAACGCAGGACAGGCCTGTAAATGTGCGTCCCTTTCCTCACGATCTTTCGTCTCCTTTACTGTGCGTGACATATAAAATATGTGTCCATGGAGATTATCAGGAAGGCTTCCGTCAACTGTTAGTAGTTAAGTTTGGGGGAGTCCAAAGTTATACTAGCAGATTTTTGACTGCATGCGGGTCAGCCCCCCTGATGTTCAAGGGTCAACTGGACTTGAACAACAAGTCTTTGGTAAAGGTGTGAGGGCTCCTAACTCGCCTGTCATAGAAATCTGGGTTTTCACTTATGCATTTGTTTAACTGGGCGCATCTAGAGAAATAGGCAGACCTGGACTTCGGGGAGCCCTGTCTCTTCCCACTCCCATCAGGGCTCCCGACCATCTGCCCTCGGATGCTCTGTCCTCTGCTGCTTTCTTCTTTCCTGCCTCATGCCACGCCCCCTGCTTTAGTCAGGGCTTTCCAGAGAAAGAGATCAACAGGAGAGAGAGAAACAGAGAGATAGAGAGACAGAATTGTGCGCGTGAGTGTGGAGGCTGGCAGGTGCAGAATCTGCAAGCTGACGTCCCAGCTCAAGTTCAAACCCAGAAGCTGCCTTAGAACCGAGAAGAGATGGTGTGTGGGGATGAAGGTGGGAGAATTCTCTTTCCTTGGGGGCCAACCTTTATTCTATCTGGGCCTTCAGCTGACTGGCTGTGGCCCGCCCTCAGCAAACTACTACTACTGATTTAATATTTACCTCATCGAAAAAATACCCCATGGATACACCCAGAACAGTGTTTGACCAGGTACCTGGGCTTCTCATGGTCCAGTTCCCTTGATATGTAAAATCAAACCAACCTTTAACAGGTGGGATCTGAGCTGAGAACTAAGCGTGGAGCGAGTCGGGGGTAGCAGAGGAGGAGGGGATGAGCAGAGGAGAGCCAGGTGGCGGGAACAATACGTGCCAAGGTCCTGAGGAGAGTGTGGTGCTCGCAATTTCCCCTTTGATTCCCCTGGTCCCTGAAGCCAGGAGAGGGAGAGGGACAGGAACGGGGAGGGGGAGGGCACAAACCTGCCACACCCAAGTGTTCTGGAGCCTCCGTGTTTGAAGAAGAAAGCGTGACTGTTGTTCTGTCCAGGGCCGGGAGCTCCTGGGAGGGGCGCCGAGGGAAGCAGCACAGCGAGGAGTGTGGGTTTGCTTGCGGCTGAGCGTAGAGGCCACTGGTGGCAGGAGGGCCACCCAGTTCTGCTGAGACCTCACCATGTCCCTGGCAGATATTGGCACACGCTACACCCCAGGGCGCAGGCATGAGGGGTGTGCAGGGCCCACTGCTCTCGGCCTGGACTCCAGTTACCGTCCAGCCAAGCCTAAGTGAATGAAGCCTCTGCTCTGCTCGGCCTCTGCTCCCCGGGCCTTGTGGCAAATGCACTGGCCACAGTTTCCTTTCCTCCTGAATCTCGCCTGGCCGTGGCAGCCCCAGCTCCAGCCCCATGAGGCAGCTGACAGGCCTGCTCGGTCTCTTGGCCTCTGCTGGACTCCTCGAAGGGACACTCTGCCCAAACCAGTCCTCGTCAGTGTGTGCCTGGACGGCGCAGGCTCATGGCCACCGTCCCCTTCTCCCTGGGGTGTTGGCCCCTGATCTCCCTGCAAAGCCCCGGGAGGGCATCTTGGTGTCCATCTCACCATCTGCTGTGGCTGGTCTATGGCCAGCAGTCCACACAGGCAGGAGTAGGCGCCTACTGGGTGGCAGCAGCCAGACCAGCAATCTCACTGACTGGGTAGGGGGTCCTGGGGCCAAAGAGGCACAAAAACTTATCTGGCCACCCCAGTCCCCCAGGCCCAGGCCAGTGTGCTCCTGGGGGGACCCCTGCTGTTTCTGGCTCCTTCTACCCTGTAAGCGTCCCTGTTGCTTTGGGCGGTGGAAGGAGTGTGACCCTGCCCTGCCCAGGCACCCCACCCATGGGTGGGCAGCGTGGGTGCCCTGGAAGACTTGGTTCTTCTGCTCACTGCCACCCCCCTCCCCGGTGCAGACCACCCCCCTGTCTCAGACATGCAGTCAGCTGTGGCTATGCCCCAGAGCGCCAGAGGGGCTAATTACAGCCTCTGCTTCCTGAGAAATTACGGCCTCCCAGGCCCGGGCTGAGCCTCCAGCATGTACCCCAGCCCTGATGCTTGTGCTTCCTCCCCTGCCTTCAATGGACGAGCCCTGAGTCAGAATGGGGGGTGCCCGCCAGCCCCCAGGCCTGAAGCGCGACACTTCCGAGTGTTATCTCAGGAGCTGAACGCAGGTGTCCTGGTCCCCACCTTGCAGGCGGAAAAGCCCCCCAGAACTCCACAGGCCGCAGTGGAGACCTGGGCGGCCTTGGGGGTCTCTGTGCCCATGGCTGTGCCTACTTCTTGGGACACCCCTTCCGGGACTGACCTCTCCTCTCTTCTCTCCCTCCCAGGCGCCCCCGGCCCTCCCGGACCACGAGGACTCAAGGGCGACACGGGTGTGAAAGGGCCTGCTGGCGGCCGAGGACCCAAAGGCGACCCTGGCAACTTGGGGCCCCCGGGACCTCAGGGCCCTCAGGGGCAGCCTGGGGACCCTGGACCTATGGGGGAGAGGGGCCCCACTGGTCTGCGAGGTGTCCCAGGCTTCAAAGGCTCAAAGGGGAGCTTTGGAACTGGGGGTCCGAGAGGACAGCCAGGTCCCAAAGGGGACGTGGGACCCCCTGGACCTGAGGGGCCACCAGGGTCTCCAGGGCCTTCAGGGCCTCAGGGAAAACCGGGGATTGCCGGAAAGACGGGGTCACCAGGCCAGCAGGGGCCCACGGGGCCTAAGGGAGAGCCCGGGATCCAGGGTCCTCCTGGCCTCCCTGGGCCCCCAGGCCCACCAGGAAGCCAGAGCCGCTACTGAGGAGGGCCAGGGCCTGGACGCAGCCAAACATGATGCCAGGAAGAGGGCTCGGGCAGAGCGAGCCCCAGAAAGCTGCACTTACAGGTGTGGTGCTTTGATCCTGATGGGGACCCGGGCCTGTGCACATGCACACACACACACACACACACACACACACATCTCCCTGCTGGCCAGGAGGGCGACGGGCTTTTCCTGGCTGGGCAGGAGGAGAGGTCGGAGGCCCTGCCTCTCCCGTGAGAGCCCGCTAGGGCGGTGGCTACCTCGGAGGAAAGCCTTAACCGTTTCTGACTTGGTGACCAAGCCCGGTCTTTCCAGCACCTTCGCCCCCATCCCAGCCGGCAGTTCCCCCAGACCCTCTGGTCACACAGACCCAGAAGAGCCTTTTCAGGGGATGGTTCAAACTCAGGGGACAAGGTGTGTCTGACAGCCACGGCCCCCTCTTGTTGCCCTGGGTGCCGAGTCCAGGAACTGGCCCTGCTCACACAAGGCACGGGAGCCGCACCCCAGCACACACGGCGGCCCGAGAGTGTAGGGTGCCAGGAAATCCCAGGCTCCCTTCTTGCCTCTGCCTCTCAGGAGCATCCCGGGGTCCAAGCACACGCACAGGGACACTCTCCAGGCTCGACAGCACCCCGCCCAAGGGGCGCCGGCTCTTGGGAAGCAGAGAAGGGCACGGGGCCAGGTGTGCAGGTGCGGTGGCCCCGGGCCACAGAGCTGCCCGCTGAGGCTGATGCTCCCTGCAGGGGCCGGGTCCCTCTGTGCTGGCCCGGGGAACGCCAGGCCGAAGGAGGATGGACCCTGATAACAGGGCAGCTCTCCCCTCTGACCCCCGGGCTCTCCTCCTGCCCACTGACCTGGGCCCACAGGAACCCCAATGGCGTCCTGCACAGGCTGCAAGGCCAGAAGAGGAGGAGGGCCCGAACATGCCCCGCAAACAGTCACTCTGTCCCTGTCCACCTCGACCCTCCACACACTGGCAGAGGGGACTCGGGCACCTCCCCGCCAAGGAGCCACCATGACTCAAGGCGTTGCCCTGAGGCGCCAGAGTTCCCTCCCCTGGGATGGGGCAAGCAGTTGCTTCCTCCCCACCGAACTCAGAGCCAGGCCTCCCGTCCCAAAGCCTGGATGCCCCCTCCCTTCCTGTAATAGACGTGCAACTGGTTTGCACGCCCACCCTGCTGCACCTCATTCTCCCGTCCTCATATGCTTCCGTGGGACATTGTATTACTGACCCAGTAAACAGCTGTTTCTAGAAGGGATGTGTCTTCTGGTCCTTCCTGCCCGATGGGGGTGCGATGCCTTCAGGGGTCCTGCATCACACTGGCCTCTGAGGGGACCCGTGGAACAGGGGTCCCCTAGATGTTCAGGCCCATTGTGGAGTCTGATCCCCTGGGCCTCGCTCTGGGAACACTGAGCTCAGCTAGGAGCTCACACTGGCCTGTGGGCCAGGGGCTGGGTCTGAGCAGAAGGTGAGGGGGACCAAAGGGATAACCGCACGGGGTCCCACAGCTCGCTGGCCAAAGTGGGCTTTGAAGATTAGACCCGACAGCCGGGTGATGCCTCCTGATTCCGTTGTCTCTAAGGTGAGCAGATAAAACAGGCCAGAGAGGCTGCACCCCCGGGACCCACAGGAGGCAGGGCGGGGTGTCTGAGAGCCAGTGGGGGCTGCTCAAGGAGCCGGAGTCTGTCTCGGGGTCGGCTCCAGGGCGTCCCGTTCAGTCTATTCCGGCTGCTGTAACACACCACAGAAGGGAAGGCTGATAGGCGCACATTTATTTTCACAGTTCCAGAGACAGAGGCCAAGGTCAGGGGCCGGCAGGTTCCGTGTCTGCGGGGCCCACCTGCTGGGTCCGGGAAGACGGTCTCTGCTGTACCCTCCGTGGAGGAAGGGCCTAGGGCGATCTCCTGGCCTCTTGTAAGCCCAGCCGGCAAGGGCTGCGCCCTCATGGCTGGATCACTTCCCGGGGCGCCTCTCCGCTCTCCCATCACTGCGGGGAGTAGGGTTTCAGGCCTTGGCTTTGCGGGAGACGACATATCCCGTCTATGGCTGCGTGGCCGCTCCCCAGGAAGCCCTGGTGGTGAGAGAGCCCTGGCCCTGTTTTGCTTTGTTTGGCCCTCTTGTGGGGGAGGCAAAGGTGTGCATTAGTCAGGGCTCCACGGAGAAACGGGCCCAGTCAGAGACAGACCAACAGACGGGCTGGAAAGTCCCACGACCCAGGGACCCCAACGGGTGAGCTGGAGACCAGAAGCCGCGGTGGGGTCTCTGGGTCCAGAGGCCAAGAACTAGGAGCCGGCGGTATGAGCTCCGAGGGCCAGAGACCGAGCTGCAGCTCAGTCAGCAGCAACAGGCGCCCCGTCCTCCATCTTTCTGTCCTACCCCACCCTCAGCGCCCTGGGTGAGGACCACCGGCTTTGGGGTGGGGAGTGATCTCTTCTCTGCCCGCTGATCCCAATGCTCCTCTCTTCTGCAGACACCCTCACACACTCCCCGATAGATAAAGCCTAACCAGACGCCTGGGCGACCAGGGCCCAGTCAGGTGCCACATAAATCAACATGCACGGTGAGCAGAGCTGGGGTGAAGGGGGCTGGGTCTGACCGGGCCCCCACCCATGGACTCCCACTTCCTCAGCCACCCATGATGGCTCTGGACCCCCCACTCCACAGGCCCCTCCCCACACCCGAGACACATCAGCCCTGGGTTAGGGACCCTGGGGTGACAGGGAAGAGGCCTGCAGTGTGCCCTGTGGGGGCTCACCTCAGTGGGTGGAGGGGAACAGGTGAAAGGCAGCTCCCCATCTGGAGCTGGGTGGGGGGGGCATCTCTATGGTTTCTACAGACAGTAACAAAGGCTCACGGTCAACAAGGTTTACCAGATGAAATGGCCAAGAGCCTTGAAAAATTAAAATTACAGGTGTGACTACAATATCCTTGAAAACCCCCAGGATATATTTCAAAAGTTGAATTCATAATTCTCCCTAAAGAAAACACTTAGGAAGGTAAACACGCACTCACCCTATGACTCAGCATTTCCACCCCTAGGTATTTACCCAAGAGAAACCCAAACATAATCCGCAGAAAGCACTTGTACAAAAACATTCACGGCAGCTTTCATCACGATGGCCCCGGACTGGAACCGGCCCAAATAGCCATCAACGGGGAATGGATAAATAAATAGTGGTGTTTTGTAAAACGGAACACGACTACTCCGAAGAAGAAGGGGGAAGAGAGGAAAGGGGTGAAGAAGAGGCAGAGAGAAAACAAGGAAAAGCACAAGCACCATCATGGGTAACACGCAGAACCGCGCTACCTTAAAGAGAAACCAGCCAGAGTGTGAATATGATTCCACTTATTCTCAAATTTAGAAAAGGCAAGCCCCTCTGCAATGCTCAAGATCAGAGTTTTGCCTCAGGTTGTACAGGACAAGAGCAGGGAGTGATGGCAAAGGCTTACGACTAGTTTTGTGGAAACTGTCTCTCTCTTGACAGGTTTGTGACTTACATAGATGATCCACTTGATATCACTCACGTTATACCCAAAAACTGCGTTTCAGAGGGTAGAAATTCACACTCAATTAAAGGTCATATGAAAAATAGAAATTCACTTCCAAAAGTTTGTGAGTCAAAAAATTGTAATAAAAATTAAGTTGAAATAGATACAGGAACTATTTTTAAGCTCTTTTGTAATGAAAACATATGATCTCAGAAGCTGAGGAGTCAGAACCAAGCAGTGCTTGGATTCAAACACTTAGATTAGAAGAAGAAGAACCACAGGGAATGCGCTAAGTGAACAACTGAAGAAGTTTGACGAAGCACACACACACAAAAAGTAAAATGGTAGAATAATAAAGAACAGAAATGAGTGAAGTGGGAAAAAGAAAATTTCGAATAGAGGCTCAACAAAGTCAAAAGTTGGTTCTTTTTAATTTTTTAAAGGTTTATTTATTTATGCATACAAGAACCGGGGCACAGGTCAGATGTGCAGGAGGGTGAGAGGATTCACCAGAGACAGAGCAGGAAACAGAATAGGCAGCCTGACTGAAATACACTGCTGAGGGGAGCAGCAGGGAAGGCAGAAGAGGTCTGCCGTGCCATGTGGGTGTCTCCGCCAGCTGGCAGGCATCAAACTCGCACTGCAGAGGCTGCGGACAGCTTCACAGCACTGCGCTTAACCACCTGCGCCACCAGGGAAGCCCCAAAAGTTGGTTCTTTGAAAAGACTAATCAAATTGATAAACTTTAGGCAATACTGACCAAGAGAAATGAAAGAAGGTATCAATAATGAGCATTATTGGAATGAGAAGAGTGACACTAAGGAGAAATGTTATGAACATTAAGCACAATGAATTTGAAAACTTAGATGGAACAAAGCCATAGGAAAATGAAGTTCACTAAAACCTTCCCTAAGGGGTCTAAAAATCTGAATATTTTGTAGCCATTAAAGAAAGTGAGTCGGTGGTTCAAAATATCCCCACAAAGAAAACACCAGGCCCAAAGAACAAGACTTACGGACAAATTCTACCAAAACATACAAAGACACAATTCCCATCCAAAGCAAACTTGTCCAGAGAACAGAAAAAAACAGAGGCCTCCCCAGTGGATTCTACGAGGAGAGAAAACTGTTACAAAACCAGAAGGGAAAATAGATAAACAGAAGCAGAAATAAGCATTTCGATTAAACATCCATTCATGACTTCCTAAAACTCTTTTCCAACCAAGGCTAAAAAATCTCTCAAACTAAAATAAAGATAGTAGCTACCCACAAATCCATCGCAAACATCTTTCATCATGGTGGAAATTGAAATTATTCCCTTCAAGAGAACCAGACATTACATACCTCCCGATATGATGCAATAGAAAGCACCACCTATTAGTAGATTTGCCCCCCCAAAAAAGAAAGAAAAGGCCAGAAAAGTGGGCCTAGCTATAACCACCTACTAGATCTCCCTTCAGGGTGTTCACAGCATCTCCAGAGAAACATGTCAACATCATTTTCAGGATGTTGAGGTGTTGGCCAGTTTGTTGAGGTGTTGGCCGATTCAGTTTCTTCAACAAATAAAGGGCATGGGAAAGCAAAGACAGAATGTTATGGATGAAGAGATACGACATTAATCTTCAAATAAAAATGTATTGAAGAGCGAGACCTAAGAGAACATTCTTTGGATGCAAAATGCCAACTTTGGATGTCAACAAACCAACTTATAAAGACAATCTGAGAAAATCATAGACATTTGAACACAGGTTTGTTTTTAGACCATACCAAGTGTGACAATGGGTTGTGACTGTATTTTCCAAAAAGCTTCCGTTTGTTGCAGAGACGTACCTGAAATACTCAGGGGTGAACTGCTTTGATGGCTGGGCTGCTTGACAGTACTCTGGGAGATGAGGCAAGTCAAAAAAGGTTGACAAAAACACTGATAAGAGTAAAACTGGGTGAGGGAGACTTGGAGGTTTGTTATCTAGTCTCTTTCCCTTTGTGACTCTTGGAAATCTCCCATAATAAGGACTTTAAAGACAGATCGTGATGATGACAATGATGAAAACAACAATAAAACGTCACTTAAGAAAACAGAGAGGCTAAGAGGCCCTTCCCCTTCGCCACCCAGGCGTCTTCCAGGGAGGAACAGGCTGACTCCTTCCTACCCCTTGGCCTACGCTTGTACCATTTCTTTCTCCCAGAATTCCCTCCCTGCTTATCTCTTCAGGTTTAAGTCCTACCCATCCTATAAACCAGCTCAAATACTACCTGTAGCAGGATCCACTCCCTCTTCATCTGGCAACAACACCCCCATTTTCCTGTGAGTAAACACCTTCAGTCACTTCTGTGGTTAGATGAGTTCGACCCCCGCCCCCCCACATCTCCCGAGGTAGATAAGTGACTCAGATCTGCTGTGAGGCTGTAAGGACATGCGGCTGTGGCCCCACAGCTGCAGGACTGAACGTGTTCCCTGGGGGCTGACTGGCCAAGAAGCATCAGCTGTAACTAGTAGACAAGAGGCACTCCCTCTTCTTGGGGTATTTCAGGAGAAAATTGAAAGTCTGGGGCCACTGAGGCCTCTTACCTAACATCCATGGAGACCCTGCCTAAGACGGGTGCTGCCATGAGGTAGGGAGATGTTGAGTGATCTGGCAATGATGGAAGGGCAAAGACCAGTTCCACCTCCTCCCCATGCATACAACAAAATGATAGGTATAAACAAAGGCCCGAGGGACTTCCCAGGTGGGCCTAGGGGTTAAGTCTCAGTGCTATCACCACTACGGTCTGAGCTTCATCCCCGGCCAGGGA